TTCCTTTCAGTGTGTCTGCATACAACAAATTCAGCCCGCTACCACCGTCCATCAGCACTTTTGTCAGTCGAGTGCCTTCGACAACTGGATCGACCACCAAAGCTTGCCTCCCAGGGGTGGCAATATGAGTCGGGTGATCAGATTGGTCGAATGTGATGGGTGTTTGGGACCATCTCAGATAATTTGCTTTTGCTGGGGTAACCATGTTCACCTCGCGGTTAATGACTTTCAATCGACTCTTGCTTTCCACATCTGCAAAGATCATCAGAGTGGAGTTGACATGCGGGTATCCTTCCTCACTGTCCTCCTTGTCTTCGGCCTTGTCCGACTCCTTTTCCTTGTCTTTAGACTGTTTTCCTTGAAACTACTGGATCAGGAGTCGACATTGGCGAGTGGTATGCTTTGGGTAAACGATATTCCCCTCTTCGTCTTTCTTCGTGTGGATGTGACACGGCATATCCATCACGTCGTTCCCTTCTTTATCCTTTACCTCCTTGGGGTTCCAGGATCCTTTTGGTTTCCCTTTAAACTTTCCATGAGCCACGGCCAGAGCCTCTCCAGGAGCTGCCGGTTCAGCCTTCCACTTCTGTTTCCGACTGGTGTTTCCCTTCTTCGACTGGCTCAGCTTGTGCTTGCCGCTTCGGAGTCGGTCTTCTTCTTCACCGTTGGCGTACTTGGTAGCAATTTCCATCATCCGACTCAAGGTCATGTCTCCGGTTCTACCAAATTTCAAACTCAATTCTCTGTTCTTGACACCATCCTTGAAGGCGCAGACTGCCTGATGATCAGACACATTCTCCACAGTATGGTGCAAAGTGATCCATCTCTGAATATACTCCCTGAGAGTCTCATTGGTCTTCTGCACGCAAACTTGCAGCTCCGTCAATCCAGCCGGTCGCTTGCAAGTTCCTTCAAACGTTCTGACGAACACTCGGGACAGATCTTCCCAAGTGTAAATGCTGCTAGGAGGTAATTGATTCAACCACACTCTGGCAGAACCTTCCAACATGAGGGGCAAATGCTTCATGGCCACCTCGTCATTCCCACCACCAATCTGAACCGCCACTCGGTAGTCTTCAAGCCAAGTTTCAGGCTTAGACTCGCCGGTGAACTTGCTGACTCATGTTGCCAACCTGAAATTGGGAGGAATCATTGCGGCTCTGATAGCTCTGCTGAAACATTCCGGACCAGAAACATGCACTCAACTGCTTGTAGGCGCATCTCTGTCGAGTCCACCTCGATGGGCTCTGTTTCGGTCGACCAAGCCTTGCACGATAATGGACCGCGCGTCGAAGCCTGGTTCTCTGGGGTCGACTGGAACTCTTCGCCCCGCACCGGGCTGACGTCTGTCATCTTGCTGCCGAGGAGCGTAAGACCCACCCCTCGGAGGGGAAGTGGGCACTCGACGCCTATCATCTCGGTCGTGTCGGTCTCCATATTGGTCTCGCCAATTCTCGCGCCCCTCACACCGCGGAGGCGATCTGGGACTGTGAGCCGACTGAACCGTATTTGCAGCGACGGATCGACTGTGAATTCTGTTGTGCGACTGCGACACGGCTGAATTCTGATCTCCTGCTGCCCGGAGCAGATCCCTGATCTGCATCAAGCCTCTGCCAGCTTCCGACTGAGAGGGCTGGATGGACTCTGCTATACGGGTCGCAGCTGCTAAATTCTAGATTGGGGTTCGATATACCTGAGTCGGCGGGAAGAGTTGACGTCGACTGGCGTCGGGAACTCGTTGCCGCGCGCGCTCGTCGAGTGCTCGCTGAAGATTCTCCAGGCGAGCGCGTTCGGCCAAATTGGCCAAACGTGCCTCCTCCAAGGCGCGAGCTTCAGGGGTTTCTCCTGCGATGGGAGTATGCAGGGCATCCATGTTCCTGCGGCGAAGTTCCTCTCTTTGCAGAGAGTCGAGTGGCTCGGGTTGGTACTCTTCGTGGTCTCGTGCGGGGTCGCCTCCGTCGCCTGCCCCACCATCACGGGCGAAGCCAGGGGGGCTGCGAGGCCCGTCGACCATCAGGATTTCCGCCGCTGGATCACTGCTATCGCATTCGGATGCTGTCTCTACGGAGCCAGTCGACAGATCGAACAGGTCGTAGAGAGATTCGTCGGGCTCGATTGCCGCAACTTGGGTGGTGGCCGTCTGGCGAGCCACCGCGTGTCTCACCCACCGCTGAAGCCTCGACCGACCCGAGCGCTTGCGCTGGCGGGAGACCGGGAGGGTGGTCGATAGGGGAGTCGACCGATATGGGGCCGACGGTTGCCGCAGCAGAACGCCACGGACGCATGCGCGAAAATGTGTCGCACCGCGGATGGGGAGCACATCGACGTCGAGTGGAGCCTCCTGGAGCCAGGCGGAGTCGTCGGCGACGAAGGTGAGAGCACCGAGACGAATCTCTCGACCCTCGACCAAAACTCCAGCAGCTACCATGATGAAAGCACTCGGAAGAATCGCAACTTCTCCACAAAATCGCTAAAACACCGGCCGCACGGTGGGCGCCAACTGTCGTGGATCTAAGTCTGACAGTAGAGTGGGGGGTAGGTATGGAGAGGCAAGGTTCTAGCTATGGAGAGGTTGTAAACACAAGAGATGTACGAGTTCAGGCCCTTCTCGGAGGAAGTAAAAGCCCTACGTCTCGGAGCCCGGAGGCGGTCGAGTGGATTATGTGTATATGGATTACAGGGTGCCGAACCCTTCTGCCTGTGGAGGGGGGTGGCTTATATAGAGTGCGCCAGGACCCCAGCCAACCCACGTAATGAAGGGTTTAAGGTACATTAAGTCCGGGGCGTTACTGGTAACGCCCCACATAAAGTGTCTTTACTATCATAAAGTCTACTTAATTACAGAACGTTGCAGTGCAGAGTGCCTCTTGACCTTCTGGTGGTCGAGTGAGTCTTCGTGGTCGAGTCCTTCAAGTCAGTCAAGTGAGTCCCTCGTAGGTCGACTGGAAGGTGATCTCTTCTAAGGGTGTCCTTGGGCAGGGTACTTAGATCAGGTCTGTGACCCTACCCTAGGTACATGACTCCATCAACTGACCCGTGGGAACCTGGCATCCGGGATCACCCCACCATCCTTGCTTGACATGCTCCCGCCACACTACCTTTTGCACCGGTATCTCCGTGAGCTACCGGAACCAATATGTTGTCATGGCATCATTTTCGGATTCATCGCCGTGGCACCCTTTCTTTCCACCACGGTGACAAATGCTTCATAATATGCTCATGTCAACTTTTTCATAAAAAAATGCATAAAACTTGCACATGTCATCCGCATCATGATAATAACATTTAAAATGTTTAAAATAGTTGTTTACATTAAATTGCTAAATGCATGTGGGTATTTACCGGAATGGTTATTTGTTGCTTCCGGCCTCACTTAAAATTGCCAAAAATGTTTAGTTTACTTATGCTTCACCTCTTGCCATGGTGAACAACATTTGATATGGTTGGGTACATAAATGGGAGAGAACTAAATAATTGATGTGGTGTTTCGTCAATATGTAACGGGGTTGCATATTGAGCTCCACTTAATTCGTAGTATCGTTTGTTGCACTTTGCCATGCCATGTCTATTTAAACCGGACATGCATCATCCTTGGTTGTGCATCATGCCATGTTTATGCTTGTTGGTTTACCATGCTGTTTGCTCCTTTCCGGTGTTGCCTCTTCTTGTTAGTTCCGGTAACTTCGCGTTTGTGAGGATTCGTTCGACTACGTCTATTTGTCTTTTTCATGGACTTGTTCTTCTTCCTTGCGGGATCACAGGCAATATGACCATACCCTCGAAATCACTTCTATGTTTGCTTGCTAGTTGTTCGCTCTATATCTATGTCATGCTACCTACCACTTGCTATATCATGCCTCCCATATTGCCATGTAAAGCCTCTAACCCACCTTCCTAGCAAACCGTTGTTTGGCTATGTTACCGCTTTTGCTCAACCCCTCTTATAGCGTTGCTAGTTGTAGGTGAAGTTGAAGTTTGTTCCATGTTGGAACATGGATATGTTGGGATATCACAATATTTCTTAATTAATTAATGCATCTATATACTTGGTAAAGGGTGGAAAGCTCGGCCTTTTGCCTGGTGTTTTGTTCCACTCTTGCTGCCATACTACTTCAATCATACCGGTGTTATGTTCCTTGATTTTGCATTCCTTACGCGGTTAGGTGTTATGAGAACCCCTTGACAGTTCGCTTTGAATAAAACTCCTCCAGCAAGGTCCAACCTTGGTTTTAACATTTGTGACCTAAGCATTTTCCCTTGGGTTCGGCGGACTCAAGGGTCATCTTTATTTTAAACCCCCGAGCCAGTGCTCCTCTGAGTGTTGGTCCAAACTAGAGCACCGTGCGGGACCGTCCCTTGGCAACTAGGGTTATGTTGGTACCTGTACGCTTAGCTTATCCGGTGTGCCCTAAGAATGAGAGATGTGCAGCTCCTATCAGGATTTGTCGGCACTTTCGGGTGGTCTTGCTGGTCTTGTTTTACCATTGTCGAAATGTCTTGTAACCGGGATTCCGAGACTGATCGGGTCTTTCCGGGATAAGGAATATCCTTCGTTGACCGTGAGAGCTTGTGATGGGCTAAGTTGGGACACCCCTGTGGGGTATCAACTTTCGAGATCCGTGCCTGCGGTTATGTGGCAGATGGGAATTTGTTGATATCCGGTTGTAGAGAACTTGACACTTGACTTAATTAAAATGAATCAACCACGTGTGTAGCTGTGATGGTCTCTTTTCGGCGGAGTACGGGAAGTGAACACGGTCTTGTGTTATGCTTGAACGTATGTAGTTTTAGGATCACTTCTTGATCACTTCTAGCTTCTCGATCGTTGCGTTGCTTCTCTTCTTGCTCTTATTTGCGTATGTTAGCCACCATAGATGCTTACTACTTGCTGCAGCTCCACCTCATTACCCTGTCCTACCCATAAGCTTAAATAGTCTTGATCTCACAGGTGTCAGATTGCTGAGTCCTCATAACTCACAGATACTTCCAAACAGTTGCAGGTGCCGATGATACTAGTGTAGGTGACGCAACCGAGCTCAAGTGGGAGCTCGATGAAGATCTTGATCGTTGTTATGTGTCTTTTCTGGTTGATCAGTAGTGGAGCCCAGTTAGGACGACCGGGGATCTAGCATTTGGGGTTTTCTTCTTTATTTTGGTTCCGTAGTTGGACCTTGATTGTACTCTGGATGATGTATGTTTACTTGTTATTTGTGTGAAGTGGCGATTGTAAGCCAACTCTTTATCCTTTCTTATTCAGTACATGGGATTGTGTGAAAATTACCCCACTAGCGACTAAACCACCATGCGGTTATGCCTCTAAGTCATGCCTCGACATATGGGAGATATAGTCGCATCGTGGGTGTTACATCTTATTGTTCCAAATAGGAATTATGTGCCCGTAGATTTCATTGTTCTTGTAGAATGCAATCCTACAGGTCCTATTATTCTTGGTAGACCTTTCCTTATAACGATTGTGCAATTATTGATATGAAAGAAGAAATATTAGATTTCAATTTCCATTAAGGAAAGGCATGGAACACTTTCCAAGAAAGAAAATTAGATTGCCTTATGAATCTATTATGAGAGCCACTTATGGATTGCATTCCAAAGATGATAATACTTACATCTATTCATGTTTTATGCCTAGCTAAGGGCGTTAAACAATAGCGCTTGTTGGGAGGCAACCCAATTTTCTTTTTCTTTTTGGGTTCTGTTTTGCATTAAATAATTCATATAGCCTCTGGTTAGATGTGGTTTTGTGTTTTAATTAGTGCTTGTTCCGAGTAAGACCTTTAGGATAGCTTACGGTGATAGTTCATTTGATCTTGCTGAAAAACATAAATTTTTGTGCTTAGTCCCAGAATTGTTAAAAATCATAGAAGCGTGATAAAATGTTGCTTCTTTTTGCAGAAGATTAATAAACAAATTGCTTAGGATTTACTACTTTTTCAGAATTTTTGAAGTTAAAGAAGTATTCCAAATATCCAGATTGCTACAAATTGTTCTGTTTTTGACAGATTTTGTTTTCTATGTGTTGTTTCCTTATTTTGATGAATCTATGGCTAGTAACAGGGGTATGAAGCATGGAAAAGTTGGAATACAGTAGATATCTTTTCCTAATAATAAAGCACGGTTTGAGTCTGTCTGGTCCATCGTTGCAGCGTTTTTGTGAAAGAGGCCATGTGATTTTGATAATTAAACCCGCAGTCCTTATTTAAGTGGATCTGGAAAAAAAGATTCGATTTTGCAAATTAACCCTTGTATTATGTCAGAATTCCTCCCATGCTCTTCTGTTCATCTTATCCAATGGCAGAGAAGGTGGAAGGTGGGACAGCTTCGGCTGGGCGCTCGTCGGCGAGCTCGTCGGCCGTCCGGCTCTCCCCTCCGCTTGCGGCCCTCTCGGCCTCTCCTCCACTTCTTGCGTCCCCGTCCCCCCTGTAGGTGCGACTCCATCCCAGCACCTTGATCCTGCTCCCGGCACCTCCCTGATCCTACTCGATTTATCTCATGAAAGAATGATCCTACTCGTTGGTGGATCTGCTGCTCAGGGCATCCTCGACGTTCCTAACCTCAAGAAGTGCGGCGGCGGCAGATCCGCGTGGGGGCGTCGAGCGCAGCTGGATCGTGAAGGCCTCTGCAGCCTCCGTGCAGACGCTCGAGGTCAACAACGCCACCATGATGTACAGCTGCGAGCTGCCCACCCGTGTCCTCAGCCTCTTCGTCCCACTCTTGGTGTCTCCTCAAAGATCCTCAGCAGGGAGCGCATCATTGTCGTCAACTCCAAGCTGATCCGATGCGTCAAGAGGTAATCCTCTACTCACTTGACCGCTGACGAGGTCTTCCAATACGCCGCCGGTGTGCAGCCACTCTCCTCTCTCTCTCTTTCCCTCCCTCTGGTATCCCTCTCTATCTTGCTGGAACGGCACCGACCATCACTGGTCTGGACTCACACCCAACTTGATTTTTCCTTGTGCTGATTTGGGGTTAGTTTAGGTCCAGGACTCCAGGGGCAGGCGCTAATGGAGAGTTTGAGAATGAATGCGAGAGGTGGTTGCATCTGTTACCCTTTAGTAATTTTTCTGTCGGTCTCTTCTTTTTCGATTCATAGGTGTACTTAGATCGAAGGATCAGATATATGCTATTGTAAAGTTGTCTCAGGATATTATCTATCTGTTTCTGATGATAAGCTTTCAGTTAGTTGATACCACTGACTTTTCCTGTGTGGGAAAGACAGCATCTTCTACTGGACATTTTCTAAGATAGAGCGTTCAGATTTCTTCTACATATAACATGTACTACGAGCTGGCTGTGATGGTTGCCGTCTATATTGTCGTGTGAATTGTTCCACACTTCTGATCATCATATTGTATGATGAGCAGTTGGCCATCTCTTATTCTGTGGGGATATGGTCCGTTTATATTCTTCTAATTGATTCGGTTCACAATTCTAGCCGATGAGATTTGGTCTACATTTATGTGTACATATGCTATCCTATATACTAGAACTTGTGCTAGCCCATTATATGATTATACTACAAGTAGACAAATGCAAATGTCCATAGTAATAAACTTGTGGTCACAGGACTACTAGCTTAAAGTTTGTGAGATTTTGTAAATGGGCATTTTTGTTGTCTACTATCTAGGTTTCTATAGCATGAGGTGGTGCTCTTGCTTTTAAAAACACATATAAACTGCCATCTATACTGAACAATGGGGCTTCCTGTCTAAACTGGAGCAGTAATTCGAGGCTGAAAGGACCGACATTAGCAGCAATAATATAAATATCCATTAGAAGAGTTTTCTGCATTGAGTCCGCGGGTCTCACAAAGATATAAGATATATAGAATGCTGTAAAGATCAGCTTACCTTCTCAGGCAATGGAACAATTGTGTGTCTTGATCTTTCCCGTTTTCTTTGGTTTTGCAGCCTAGAATTTCTAGACATGCGCATATAGATTGGAGCATCTAATAGTAGTTGAAAATATTTTTGAGTAAAAATGCAACTAATACTCAATTTTCTAGGACTTGATACATCATGGTCTCCTTGTGCTTTGTTGTTTGGTTGGTGTAGAATCCCTCAGCTCTTACCAAGAGGCTCTAGCTTCGAACATGACTCTTTTAGTAGTTGGAGTGTTGCACGCATGGAATTGATCGCAGGTACTTCATCTAAAGATCCCAAGATCAGAATTTTGTTACCCTATGTCTAGACCTACATTTTGCTATGGTGCACTCTAAGCTTTCTAAATTTTGTTATGAGGTTTAGAGAGGAAGCGAAGCAGCAACAGTTTGGGTTCAGAGAAGATTAGGAGCAACAGTTCATTGGAGAAGGAGAGGTACATCAGCCGAGGGCAGCAGCGGAGAGCAAAATCAGCAGGTTAGGGGCGGCAGGAGAGGATCAGAAGTAGAGATGAGTGCGATTCAATTGCCATTGATAATGATTCAACTTGAGTTTGCACCATCCTTGTGTTACTAAATAGTTTTTTCCTTTTTCACTTGTGATTATGTACTAGAGATTTGCAAGGATGCATTGGATTCTTTTTATACTGATTTGATGCACTCTGACTTTGGAATGCGAACAAATGTGTTCTTCAATTGGCATTGATGATTCAGACTTTAGTTTGCTAATACTGTAGCTGACATAACCTTATGTGTTACTCGGCTATACTAAGTGGATTGAGCTTTTTGTTATCCCGATGGCTTGAAAGCAAATCTGTTCAAGGTTTCTTCTTTATCTTAGGCTCAGTACAATGCTCATAATCTCAATTGAGTAGCAAGCTTATGGCTGGATTGTATTTCAGTTGACCAACATGGTCGGAGGTGTGAACCAAACTGACAACAGAGATATCCAGTCTCTCATGCTTTATTCTTCATGTAGTACAATGAAGTTTGTTTGTAGCTAACTTAGTCCTCTCGGATGCTCTTTCTTGATACAAGGGTATGAACATGTCGTACACTGACCGTGGAAAACAGTTGGACCTCATTTACAAAGATACATGTCACTGAGGTAGCTGAAAAAGAATTTGATGGCCAAGAACCATCGAACCTATGGTGCACTTCTGAACTGTTATTGCTCATCTAAAAATGAAGAGAAAGCAGCACACCTTTATCACAAGATGGACGAGCTTGACATCAATCAACAATCTGATATCCCTTTACATGAAGTAAGGCTAGCATCAAAAGAATCTTAAGGGCCTTGATTTAGAAGGTCACATAAATATCTAGATTGATAATTAGTAGTCAGGGTTGTTTGATAGATTCACTTCATAATACTCAATTTTCCCCTACTTGTATCATCACCACTGTATAATGTAGCATAGTATTCCCTCTGTAAAGAAATATAAGAGCGTTCTTATATTTATTTTTTACGGAGGGAGTACTATGCACAAAGCTCAGCACCTAAATTACTTGAATGTTGGCTCATGGTTTTTTACTTAAAAAGGTGATTTCGTTTCTCCTGTGCATTGTTATTTGTAGCCATCATTATTCTATAATTTCTGATTGTTCTCCAGGTTAACAGAATTGTCACATATAATTGGTATTGAACTATAAAATATTTAGGTCTCCGTTGCAACGCACAAGTTTTTGCTATTATTTATATTTATATATAAAGCACGGATTGATTTTGTCGGGTTCACCGTCACAATACGCTTCTTCCCGTGAATTTACGCTTTCAGTTTTTTCACCTATATTATTTTCTACATCCGAGGTGGTATTATTCATATGATCATGTGGCCCGCCACGCACGACTATTCTGTCCGGAGCGATACCACCCATGAGTTTTTGGTACGTATGTTTACTAATCCGGTTTTCTGTTTTTAGTTAATTAAGCTGTCATCTATTATATATACCTACGAAAATAATTCTGTTAATTAACCTGCCATCGATTCTATAATAGAAAAAAGTAATTTTTTCCTGAGATTCGAACTTACAAGCTTCCGTTCTTACGCTACAACAACAACCAGTTGAGTTGGCACCCAAGTTGCGATATAAAACTGGGTTAGCTCTTAATAATTTTGGTTCGAAAGCTGGCCAAATATTCTGGCCAACCCAGCCAAACGTAGCCTGATGGAGTGAGAATATGGAGTTAGGCCCAATTACCCAAGCCCTCGTGCCGAACGAAGCAAGGTTAATTCCAATCGATACATGCATGCTTTTAATAATTAGATAAAGTTAGCTTAGGTGTTGAATAATCCCACCTCGTTCTGTTAGGTTGAGTTGTCTCAGTTTATATATGTTCCCAAGTTAGCTGAAATATCAACAAAGCCAACTGGGAATCAACAAGCAGCCCTGAGAGCCAATGGGAGAAGATGATGCAGTACCATTGAACAGGCTTGGCGAGGCAAAGAGGAGTTTACCATTGAAGCGCTTGATGCACAGCGGGAGGAGGCGGGTCATCGGGTGCGCAACATCGAGGCCACAGGGAAGAGAGAGCGGTGTTTAAGAATTATAAAATCGCCTAAGAAAAGAATTTGAAAATCAACTGGGTTTGAAGAAACTTGAAACTATTTTTTTGGCCTTTTGGGGTTGTGCCAACTCCACATGAATTATTTGAACTGGAACTTCTATTTAATTAAGAAGTTTAAATTAAGAGTGGGCTCTGCTTAATTCGAAATGAATGGGATTGTTATTTTTAGCTCCCTAATATTTTTGGGGGCTATGTTCATGAGTAATAAAAAGAACCACCACCGGAATTCCCTCAATTTAGATAGATCGAAGATCCATAAAATTACTTATTTGAATTTCATTTGGTTGGCTAATTTAATGAAATTCAAGTGAGGGTTTTTAAAAAACCTCAATTCAAATCAAAGCAAATAACATGAAACAAACATTATAGTTTAGTAGATGTAGTACTGATGCAACAAAAGCCTAAGATGCCCAGACATGTTGCACATGAAAAAAGTAAAGTATCAGGGATAAGAAAACTTCAAGGAAAAGGCCTGGTTGACTCGGTCCTTATACACGTTGTTCCGAAAAGCACACGAAGCCAAGCCGCAGCTGCCCTCATTAAGAAGCAGTGCACCGACGAGCTGCCACACAAAGTTATGTATGTTTTTTATGTATTGCATTTTTTACTAACTGTGTGAATTTCCTAAAATTTCAACAGCGGGTGTCTTAGTAAATAAAATAGACATGTTTAACAGAATGCAAGGACGTTAGTGGTCATATGATAAACCGATCAGCTTTATGCACATGCTCATAATAGAAATACCTTTAAGTTGATACTTTAGGATTTTTTAACTCCGTTGCAACACACGAGCCCTTTTGCTAGTTACACCAATATAAATAAAAAATGAGTTCACAATAGTACCAAAAGCGGTGATTTATTTTCTTATACTAACGGAGCTTATGAGATTTTCTGTTGAGTTTTGTGTTGTGAAGTTTTCATGTTTTGAGTAAGGATTTCATGAACTATGGAATACAGAGTGGCAAGAGCCTAAGCTTGGGGATTCCCAAGGCACCCCAAGGTAATAATCAAGGACAACCAAGAGCCAAAGCTTGGGGATGCCCTCCGGGGCATCCCCTCTTTCGTCTACGTCTATCGATAACTTTACTTGAGGCTATATTTTTATTCACCACATGATATCTGTTTTGCTTGGAGCGTCTTGTATGATTTGAGTCTTTGCTTTTTAGTTTTCCAAATTTATCCTTGCTATACACACCTTTTGAGCTAGGCATGATTTATTAGAATACTATATGTGCTTCACTTATATCTGTTGAGCTAGGCAATATTGCTCTAGTGCTTCATTTATATCTTTTTAGAGAACGACGGTGGTTTTATTTTATAGAAATTCATGAACTCTCGTGCTACAC